TAAAATAAAACATTAATAACGGAGGTATTTTAATTAGAGGAGTAGAGATTAAATGTCATTTATATGATATAATTTTATTTCAAATAATGAGATTTATTAATCATAAAGAAGTCGAGTGCCCCCTCCTACGTGATACCTGCGATGCTTCAACTTTAACACATTTAACCGATTCCACTTTAACTGATCTTAAATCCGTGTATATCTCGCAGTCACACCGGGATCTTTTCGCGACTACTGTCAACGCAAAATCCTGCAAAATAAATCGCGTCTCTCGGTGATCCCTGGTAATATTTGTCTTTCATCGGGGCCATTTTACAAGATTCACTATCTGCTCGACTTTCTAGGCAAGAAAGACGAAATCAGAAACGGTCATGGACGTGCTCGGACACGCACCCATACCGTGACGGGACTGAAAAAGGGATGCCCTCGTGATTCTCTGACTTGTTGGCCAGGGTGGCGGAACACGGACGAGGCTCCCACGGGATAAAATGGGTTATCAGATGCGAAACTCTGCGTGGAAATGTAAAGGCACCCTGACAAATCGGTTTCTATTACCGAGCAACGGTGGATCGTCTTTTTATATATTGGTGGCATTATTTCGCGTGCTTTTCGGTTATATTCACCATATTCACTTGGTGATTTTCTTAATAGAATAATATTTTTTGGTATTTTAAAAAAAAGCTACTAAATTTTGTTATATATTTTGCTAAATATTTTATATATATTTTATTTATACATTTTATTATTTTATTTATATATTTTACTAAATATTTTATATATATTTCATTCTTTTATATATTTTTTATATATTAATACCCGTATTTAATCAAATAGAGCACCAATATTAATTATTAGTTAATATTACGCAATAAATCATCGATCAAAATTCAATCATTAATGGATACATTTTGAAGATAAAATTTATTTATAATTATTATATATATTTATTCATTTTTCTTTTCACATATTTTATTTAATTTAAAAGTTTTTTTACTCTTGTTATCACACAATGTGTGTGTACGTGTGCATCATATCATAATAGATTCATGGAATAGATTCATTATAATAGATTCATAATACATGCTATTTTTTATCGAATATTTTTCTTTCCTCGATACAATTTTCAATTGTTGAAACCATTTTTATTACGAATCAATTTGCATATATAATCGTCGTTTTACCCAAGCTGTAATGTAACTTCTTTTTGACATTTCTTAAAATTGACGTTACCTTTTATCACATACGTTACATGTGGATGGCGACGTAAAATCCGCTTTTGATTTACAATTAAGATTGCTCGTTACTTTTATTACAGTTAATAGAATGATTGACCATGGAATTCCCAGCGCATCTCTGCCCTCTGACACAATATAATCGGCGCGTAATCATCCCATTGTTTGCCGAGAAATTAAATGGGCAGTACATTCGCGTTGCTGGAGTGCTCGCGGACGATTGTCACAATATCCGATAATAGCATTTATTATTGCTATTCGCATTTTTGTTTAACGAAACGTTGATCATAGGTAGCCGGGTTATATTTTGATCGTCTGAATTGCTTCCCGTGCAATCGATTAATACGTTACCATAGAAATCAATTTTATTACCACGTTTAATTTATAGCCGATCATGACAGATTTAGTCAAAACGTTAATTTCATTTAACAAATTATGACATCGATAGCTAAAGATATATTAAGATAATGTATGTCACGAAAATTTTGGCACACATATATGATAGCTTAAGAAATATATTTTTGCGATACGAATAATGAGATAAAATAATGAACAGTATATATATATATATATATATATATATATATATATATATATATACTGTTCATTATTTTATCTCATTATTCGTATCGCAAAAATATATTTCTTAAGCTATCATATATGTGTGCCAAAATTTTCGTGACATACATTATCTTATATTTATTTATATATATATATATATATATATTATATATATATATATATATATATATATATATATAAATAATGCCTATATATATATATATATATATATATATATAGGCATTATTTATATATATATATATATATATATATATATATATATATAATTATTAATAAAAGATGCATGGAAATTGTGATTTTATGAAGAATATATTTATACGTACCTTTATCATTACGTATCTTTTGCACAATTGAAGTATAAATATATTCTTCATAAAATCACAATTTCCATGCATCTTTGTCAAATTATTGGAACAAGATATATTTTAAGGTATAATTTTTATAAAATTTTTCACGATATGCTTTACGAAATAAATAACTAGTACTCTTATTTGTGTCAACTGATTCGATCCCCTTATTTATACCTTATTAGAAGATTTATTAAAGTTATATGCAATACATTAATTTCAACGCATGATGGTGTTGAAATAAACGTACTTATCTAAGAAAGTCAATTACAGGTGGCGATCGAGACTCGGCGAGGATTGTGTAATACTATTGGCCGAGCAGTTTTTTCACAATTGCGTGAGATATTTATTTATAATTACCACAAAGGAGAACGCACGCCAATTATTTTCAACCGCACGATTGCGAACTACAAAAGTGAATAAATAATGTAAAAATGTTAATTGTCGTCAGCACTGGGCGTCACTGTGAGAACACAAAGGACAAAGGTATAATGATATATCGCCGGCATATATTATTATCAGTTTCAGGGAAACGCAAATTTCCCGGAGGCAGGAAAGCTCTCTCCCGGCCGCTCTGCGCTTTTAAAAATAAATTCGAACGAAAGAAATATCAATTAACACGCTCAATAACGCAAGCAATATCCCGAGCGTTCATCCGAAACCACCCTCTATGCGGTTAGTACGCAGGCAGGCGGGAAACGCGCTATACCCGTTCATATACAAGAGGATAAAGCAACCCCCACTTGGCCGGCAGCAAATAATTAGTATCTTAGTAATATCGGGAATGCGTTTAACGTTAGCGACTAACTTGGCTCCTTAATTAATTAAAACAAATGATGAAACTATTTGACCGTATATTGAGTTAAAATGCATAAGTTGTAGTTATTTGATTTATTAAGGTCAGAACTTTTGTCATTTTTACAGTTTTGTTTATATTCTTTCTCTATATATGTTTTATAGAAATTTTCAAACGCTTTTTGCTTAAATTATGTACAAGCGAAAGCTAGCAAAGAAAGGGAGAGCGTAAAAATGACTGATGTGTAGTGAAAATTAATTTGAAAAAACATCTTTTATAAAAGAAAAAAACTACGAGTCAGCGCATCTGCATTTTTAAAACAATCAGATATCCTCCGCGAATCTATTCAGATTCGCGAGCCAAGGAAAAAAGTATACAATGTGTAACGTCCCTCGTAACAGGCCAACTTCCGGCTACACCACCCGTCTACACATTATATCGTCAATATAACGCAGACCGTTATACAATTTCAGTCATGTTTTAATTAGCTAGAATACTAATGTACCGCGCGAGCAAGTAAAGCCAATGAACGCCTTGTTGACCCGAACACATTCCGGACGTAAGCCAACTACATCCCCATGACCACCGAGTTCCCGCAAACATCCGACACATATCGCGCACCCCATATATTAGTCAAAACGAATAGTGAAAAAAGTAAAATCTTGTCACGAATTAGTCTCTCGCTGATAATCTTTAATTTCTCTCTCTCTCTCTCTCCCCCCCCCCTCTCTCTCTCTCAATACGTCCTCTTCCGAGAGATATAAATTATGCATGTGTTGTGCGTGATTAATTCTTTATACTTAAAATATAATTGAAAATAAAAAATATTACATTTGCAATCTTATAATTGAAAATAATTGAAAATAAAAAATATTACATTTGCAGTTTTATAATTCTGCTAATAATTATTTTTTAATGAGAATGTTACTAATTACCATATATAAATTTTCAAATTTATCTATAAAAATAAATAAAACCTTATTCACTGTATTTATATAATTTTATACTTTATATTAATTTATATAATATTATGAATAAAGTATGTTTAAATAAAATTCCAATTCGTCGCAATATTTGTCGATTCGAGAGAGCGATAATTCTCGAGGTCTCGGCGGGAAAAAGAACCTTCGGAAAATGACGACGTAAAATACGCAGCGTAGATAGAGAGAGGGTTGAAAAGAGCAGCACGTGAGATTAAGAACGCATTTTCCTTCCCTTCGCTTTATGGGACAGACGAGACATCGATAATCGTGTTTGTTGTACGAATGCTGATACGAAACTTCAGGAATGCCGCTCAGCCAAGAAGCAAGGGAGGTTTACGACTTAAGAAGTATTATGTCACCCAAGTATTCGCGCGACATCCTCTTCTTATCCCCGATTCCCACCCCGCATTCGCCCAAATCGTGGTTCCTTATGTGCATCGGGAGTTGTACGACGCCGAAATTTTGACAACGTTCGTCGCCAACAGCAATAACGTTTTAGGGTCGGCGCACATGAAGGGTGAGCTTTGATCGCGCGAATTTACGAAGACCGGGGACACTTTGGCTCGCGACAAAAGTTTTAATATTTGTTTAAATATTCAGAGAAGGAATCGCGACGCCTGATAATCGAAAGAAACATCGATTTTCTTTTAAAAATTTGAATCAACACGTTTATGTATCCGTTTTAGCTCAAACTTTTATGTGAGTTTTGTTTTATCAATTTTTAAAAAAATTCAATTTTTCCGCAAAATTTTTTATGATTCGATATATATATAATTAAACTTTTACTATCAACTAAATGTAAAATTCACAGTCTTTTATATCATTTCTACGTTTAAGTTTTACAATCTATCTTTAAGTAAGCATGATTTCTATTAATTCAAAATTGTGATATTTTAATTAATTAGAATTAGAGAGATGAAGTGTATGTATGTGTTGTGTGCTATATAAGTTATTAAATTCTAAAACCTTAAGAGAACGAGCGATAACTTTAAGCATTCTATAAATTGCGGAAGCTCTTAGAATTAGATTGCCCAACGCTACGATAAATACTTTCACTCACATCAACAAGCCACGTCACTGTGTCTCAGAAGCCAGGGAAGTATACACCACTGACCTAAAATAAAATTGATTTCAAACCATTAATTTCACGTCATAAATATCATAATTAGAAATTGATCGTAGTTAGGTATTATTTTTATAAATAATTGCTATTAATTATCTATTTGTTCTACTTTTAATGTTATTATTTAATTATTTCTACCATATAATTGGTTATCTGTAAAATTATATTATATTATCAAAAATAATCTGAAGATAAAATAACCAGATATAATTAAAAATCTATAAAAAATTATGCACTCATTTTCGAAAGATTAATATGTGAGTCATAATCATGCCTACGTGCAAAAGAAGGAGAGAATAAAAATATTAAAAAAAGCATAATGCTCAACCTTCCCAACATCTCTCGCAATGCATGCAACGACAAACCGGCCCCGCAGTATTCATTCTATAACAGAGAGGAACAATACTCTCGTGTCTGAGACTATCAATCCCATTTCAATGCCATTACGATGCATCCTTCGACTCTACGGTGCCGTTAATTAACGAACTCGAAAAGTACCGCGTAGAAAGTCCCGTTCGTCTCGGAACGTCAACGGGAGAGAGAGGTGGATCCATCGGGGTAGCGGCGAGCGTAGGACGGAAGCGCGCACGTATAAAGGGTCGGTGTCTGGCCAGACGGGCAGAAATGAAGCAGCAAGGGTTTTGTTTGTCCGGCTGTCCACCCCTTTCCTTCCTCCGTTCAAGCCTTTCCCTCCCTCCTCCCCTCCTCCCGCCAACCTCGCGAACTGCTCCGTTCTGCGATCCCCGTAGTACCCTTCATCACCTCCTCTTCCCCGACTCCGGCTCCCTCGGCAGCCCCTCCTTACGCCGTCCACCTCCCCTGGCCGTATAACAATGCACGTGTGTACACTGTTTGCCCATATCCTCCCGCATATATCTTCGCGAGCTATAATATTGATTACTTCGGGCGAATTTCAGGCTGAGCGGCGCGAGCTGAGACCGTTTCTCTGACTCAAACCGCCACGCTGCGCCGACAACCCCTACGCGAGCCACCCCCGCGGCGTGCGCGGTCGGCCTTCACAGTCAATCTCTCGTTGTCGACGCCGTCGACCACCCTTCCCGCCTCCCTCCCTTATATATCTCCGACGTTCGACGTCGCAATGCAGACTTTTCGCTCATTGCGATTCATTCCGGCGACTCGGAGATCTCGGGTTTGTCACTACATTTTGAAACAGCGACGATGTATTCCATATCTAAGACACGGAACGTCCAAAGTTTCGTCGCATCGCGAAGCTTTAGGAACATCTGCTCAACAGTTTGAAAAAGTAATCAAATTCATGTGAAGAAAAAAAAACAATGTTCTCGCGGATTTATAATATAAATATATAATACCAATGTAATATTTATGCACAGAAGCGCAAAAAAAAATTACAACCACATTTCCCCACGCGGAGTTTATAAAATCTCTTTTTGTCACATAATGTGTGTATATAAAATTAAAAACCGTAGTAAAACTCACATATAAGGCCATATAATTAGTTTCTCTCTCTCAATATTTTTCCTCCCATCATGCAACCCCCTTAAGCGGCCAATAAAAAGCGTGAATCTCCTACTGCATCACCGAAAGGTCGACCGACCGACCTTTCAAATGCAAGGCGTATTAAAAGCGCGAACGGTGCGCAGGAAAAAGTATAAACGAAAAGCGCAACAATACCAAAAAAGCGTTATAACTATTGCGCGTAACGTCGGACACTGAAAGAACCATCGTTCCATTCCGGCAAATACCGCGCGACTTAAATTGCGTCACGGTCCTTCCAGCTATCCCGTGAACATTTAATTCCATTCGCGAACCAACCCTCCCCCGTCTCTCGTCCGCTCCCGACCCCTTTCGGCCCTTCCCATCCCCTCGGCTCGCATCAGCACCAAGTCCGTATGTCGCGAATCGAAGTACAAAGAAGCAATAGTAGAAATAAGATAATTGCTATTACAATCGCAATTTCATCCAGGACGACCAGGAACCTTGGTGATAAAGGGAACGCGGCGGGGGTGTAGGGCGGGGGTGGAACGAGAAAGCGGGGAGGGGAGGAAGGTGGAGAAGGACGCGACTGCCGCAGAGAGCTGAACTACAAAGTACGTTAATGTCGTGCTCACACCCCCGTGCACCCCCAGCGCCATTCCGATGCCGCAGACAGTTTGTTGTCGAAGCTTCGGGGATTACACAAATGAGGTTGTTCAGCGGGAGAAATGTACATTCCGCTACAAAGCCGGACTCGCGCGCGCGCGCGCGCACACGCTCTCGTGTGCCACGCACGGAATTAAAAAGCAGGGTGGAAGAGCGAAGGTGAAAAGTGCCGCTCTCTCTGCCGCGATCGCCCCCCTCCCCCCGCTCCCCGCCCCCTCCCCCCGCGCCGCGGACAATATTTTCTTTGCTGAAAGCCGGCGCGCCGTAGAATGGATTTTCATCGGAGAGCGGCGTTTGAGCCCTTCAAGAACGGAATTCGTTTTTATCGGATACGCGCTCTCACATGCGGAATATCGCCGCAGCGAGACCGATGTAGTTTTTAAAAATAGCATCCTTCGACCTCGATCGTCGCCGTCAGCAACTCGAACATATCGTGACGCGTTGACGCGCGTCGCTAAATCTACGATATACCGCCTCGCGGCGCGCTTTGACAAATTGTGTCGCTTTTAAATTAATGTCGCGAAAGGAAAAACATTATCTCCTTCCGCGAGAATAAATACGACGCGCTGACATCTTACTTAATGCGTAATAGCGCAAGAGACTTGTGTCTTGTATCAGTCTGTCTAATTTATTGCTCTCATAAATTTCTTTTTTTTTTTTTCACAATTGACTACCTGTAAAAAATATCAGATAAATCACATTTTATGAAGAATACAATATAGTAAGAATAATTACATTACTTAATTTATAAGAATCATATATGTCGAAAAATTTTGTACACTTATAAATATTGGAGATGATTTGGGTCGAATAAACAGTAATAATTTTTGGAATAAAGAGAGAAGAAAGCTTAACTATTTGTCTGATCTTTCGCGAATAGTAGTGAAATTCTATGTTCTAAAGTTTGTCCGTTCTTCTCAGGAAGGAACAGGATGGCAGCAGTCGATAGTGACGTCGGCGGAAACTAGTTAGGTCGGGAACCAACAGTCCGAGGGGGTTGTAACGGAGGCGGCCCTCGTGCCAGCGCACCATAGGGACCGTAGGGATAGTAATTGTATACGTACTAGGAGAATGGCAAGGTAAACAAAACTATGTAAGATTGCCCCATTAATATACATATCTCTTGGTTCAGTCGAGCCGTGAGAGAACCAACCGCGCCTCTGAACCGCCAATGGGGTGAGTAGTCTTGGCCTCAGACTTTGGGGTTAGGCTCGCTCAAGAGCAAGGAGGGTACACAATGGATATTGAGACCATAATTTACGGCTGATTGTTAGCCTCGCGATCTATGGATTCTTGCGTCTCGCCGCGCGTCCTCCGCCTCCCGTTCGAACGCCTTCTAACAACTCTCGCTTCCACGTCGAATTTGTGTTAGGCCCGTAATAAGTATGGGATACGTGTGCACCGGGCGGAAGCGAAGGTATTAGAGGAATCCCGCGGGAGCGATCGGTATGGGTTTATGAAAGACGCCGCGGGACCGTCTCATCATGACGCAGATTTTCTATTAACCTTACACGAGAAAAATGTCAACCATTCCTGACAAAATATAATATCTTGCATTTGCAAATAATATTATTTATAAAATTTTATTTTTAAGTATTTATCAAGATTTAGTATTATAAATATATATGACTTGAGAATAATTTCCAATTAATAATAATAAATTTAGAGATACTATTTTTAATATAAATTTGATAAGTATTAAATAATTTTGCTTTTATGCATATTGCCTTTACGAAAAATATAGTGAATTATATATTCATTAATGCACACGCATATATATTAAGTATATTGTTTCATTATATTTCTATAAATATTATGTTATATAAATATTTAAAAAATTAATAAAATAGTATCTTTGAAATTTCACCATATCAAGCGAGACTTATAAGCATAATTAGCCGGAGTTGAAAGATCGTTTTCGCATGAGGTCAGTTACCCTCTGCTTACTCAACTGGCTTTGCAACAAGAACGGTTATAAATTAATTACGAGGGTCAAATTCACAACTGGGTCCCGTTCCATGGTCTGGGATTGGAGGAGACGAATGTCTTACTAGTTTCACTCGTAGCTCGAGGGACCGCGCAAGGAGGAGACGATGTTTGGTCTTCCTTACAAGGGGCAGACCGGCCGGCCAAGCTCTGCCTGCCACTTACCGAAGGATAATAACGTAGTAATCCTGCCATGAGACACGGATGAAGTCCTTAATAACCCCATAAACCCGAGATATATCTTGCATATCAATATACGCCGGGGTGAACGTGTCGCTGCAATACATACATTTGCGTTATCTCTCGCTAATTAAACAAGCGATTCGTATTAAATTCTCTCGCAATCAAAAGATATTGCAGTAGCGTTAAAAGCGTTATTTAAGTCATTAATTACAGTCGGTTAAGCGATAATTGTTTCCGTCAATATTTCATTCGGAATTAATCACAAAATGGATAATTAGACAAATTTTTCATATTCCTTCTTTACGCGCACGTAAAGTGGGACTTGACGTTTGATATTTTATTATGAGTACTATCAAATTAACAAACCTTTACATACATATAGGTCTGTAATATAGTTATGAAATTCATCGAATAAATATGCATAGATATAAATATGGCTCGCGCATAAATTTTACACGTCGGGCTATGAAAACTCCGGCAAAATCAAAATCTGTTTTCTGCGCATCTACGATATCGAGGACAACGAGAACGATCGATAATTAATAAGTCGATTGTCGGCACGAGGCGGTATTTCATATTTGAGGGCGAGCGGGCGTTACATTTTTCCGCATTCTCGCGAAACGAAACTATCGGGAAAAATGATACGGCGAAAAATCGCAGCCTGCGGCGCACACGCCGCGCCGCTTGTCAATTTTGCACCT